TGAATGAACCTGATAGTGAGGGCACAAAGTGAGTGGACCATGGATCCACGAACAGAGCGTGTGTTTGAGAGTGAGGATCTCACTTGGTATGATGTCAAGCTAGCAGAAGTGGCTAATGAAGAAGTACGGCCTAACACTAGAACACAAAAGAGAAAAGTTGGGTCCAGTCATGTATCGGCTCCAGAGGTTGAGGAGAAGAAGGCTGACGAAGAAGAAGAACATGTGGAGGCCACTGAGGATGATATTGATGATAATGATTCCTCACACTCAGATGCTAGAGATGGACATGCACATGGAGATTGCCTAGATGACTTGTCTGATTCAGATTGAGATTGAGACTTGAGAGATGATGACGATTTGTCTTGACTCGTGAACACTTCATAGACTTTTAGTTTGTAATTTTAAGGTTTGCAATTTTGCAATTGCGAATTTGTGATTATGGTTTTTGAATGTTTGTGAATTATAATACTATGTTGTCTTTTAAGTTCTATTATCTTCTATAAAGTTAGTTTCAAGTTTCTACTTTCTACTTTCTGAGGTCTTCTATCAAGGGATACTTGATAGAGAATCTCCGAGAGCTGATAACATTGGAGTTAATGAACAAATTAAATAGCTACTATCACATAAAGCACCTACATTTTTTTTCATGCATTGACCTATTTTTTGAAATTTTTTGGAATTATTTTATATTTACTGATTTCATTGGCGCATCTGCCCCCCGACCGCATCGGGATCGTATCCCGCATTTTAAAACACTGTCTAACACTCATTTAACGAAACCATAGGCAGCAGTCTCACTGCAAAAAGTAACACTCCTGTGGATATCCTTAGGTGATTGCTTATCAGAATCATACATTTGCTTCGTCCCACACTGCTCTTAGAGACATGGCAATTGAGATCAACCTCCTTTGGAATATCCACCTTATCTAATGAACGATTTACTTTAGCAACTTCTCATGGGTGTTAAAGATCAGAGGATTTCTTGGATAAGTGTGTTCAAAGAGAATTTTATTCATTTTCTCCAATTAAAGGCAGTAAAGTTGACATCCGACTAGCTAACAAAATATTTTAGCCCCAAGACTATAAGAGAAGAAGTATCTACAGTTATGTTCCATCATACCTATTTAACCAACTTCCTTAATAGCCTTTTAACTATTGAATCAAAACTTGACAAGTCCGACTTGGATCGCCCGATTACTCGGGTTCAGCAGACTGCAAAGTCCAGAACCAAGCCCAAGGGAACTGGCCAGGTCTTGCCTGTTCTCAATATTTTATTATTTGTTTTTGTAAAACTCAGCTGAATCTGTGACCACCGAGTCAGAGTGTCATAACTCAGGACCATGATCCTAGTAAGTGCCAACCAGAGTTCTTGTTTTAAACACCACTTCGGACGAACACACAGAAGGGGGGCGTAGGTGGTGATCATATAAACTATGGGGTTTAATACAAAGGAACTGAACTGGAAGTAATAAAAAATGGTATCAAAATATCAAACAATCACAGCTATTCATCAAAATTCCACATTTGATCAAATTATGCAGCATTTCAAATGAATAGCATTAAATAAAATTGGTCTCCAAGCATTAAGCTAAAATTGTAAGCATTTGCAACTGGCAAACTCCTTCGCTAACAAAGCAACTATGCTATGGAGAAACAAATCATATAAATAAGAATTGCTTCAAGATTCACATAATTGCAGTTTGCAGGTAATTGTTATATTTTGAGGAGTATAATCCTAGTTAATCATGATCAGCATGAAAGAGCTACAGAAAAACATTTCATGTGCGAATTCAGTCTGACAATGTCACATACAACATCAAGGAAACCCTCAATATGAACATTGCTACAATTTTGATTACATTAAAGGAACATCAGTTGTTCTAAGAAGTGAAGACTCTTCCATACAGCAATTTGTACTTGAAGGAGGCAGTTATAACACTTTTTCTTTTTGATAGTTTAGATATGTAATAGTAGGAAATTTATCAAATGGTGAGGTTTGTATAAGGTGCCCACCTCAACTAACACGAACATCTAAATTTGGCCGAAAGATGTATTTCTTGTGTGGGAAGCCCTACGATGCCTTGAAAATCCAGATTCAACCCTAATTATGAAATTTAAAAGTTATCAATAAAAAAATAAAAAAAATGGTGCAGATAGAGCATATCTATAATCACTTCAAAATCTTGAAAATACACCGTCTAGATAACTTATTACGAGATGAACTATGTCTAGGACTTGAAATTCTTTCTTTTTCTTTATACCATACATCTAGTTGAGATGACCCATTGGAAGGTTTTCCAACTTTGGAACACTCCTACTCTTTTCTATTGAATTTTTGAGGTGCACCTTACTTCTATAGTATAAGGTCACAACCTTATATAAACTTTTCCTTCATCAAATTACCTGAGCGATAAAAAATTTAATACCTTTTTTATTTAATTTTAAAATGCCAATAAAAAGACACATGATCTTGAATTGGAATAGTTGCAAATGGGTTGAATGTCAAAATACACATCTTTTATGGGTATTTTTAGAAATTTCCCTACAATAATTAAGCAGGGTGGAAATCGGCACTAGGATGGGAAATTGAATGAGCAACCCTGAATTTTCTGGCCCTTTTTGTTCTCCATGGTTTGAGCTGATACCTGGGATACTGTAAATGCTTATGTAGTAATCATATATAATAGGCAGGCGAGGCCACAATATAATTACTACTCAAATCCAAGCCAAAATTAAAATGATTCAAATTTTGATATTAACAGTGGCTAATATAATGTTTGACTTATAAATAATAGTGTTATAGGGAGAAAAAGCTTAGAGCGAAAACATCCATAGATCAAAAGCCAACTATTGGATATCCATAAAGGACAACAAACATATCTTTCTTTCCTTTTTTTTTCCTTGCCTTTGATAACAGTAGACCAACTGTCAGCAAAAATGCTTTATAACTTGGAACTGGCAGTTGCAGAGCCACCTTACTAAGCCTCAAAGATTTTAAAGGCGTAACAATAATGTTTTTGTTTGCTCTTCATATGAAACTATGCAATATACAAAAAAAAAAAAAAGAAGTTAAAAAACTATATTACATACTAAAACATGAGAACGAATGGTGACGATATAAAATGTTTACAACTTGATTATTAGGACAATCGATATATTAATATAAAGTTGAATACAAAATTTCAATTTCAGATATGATAATTTGTTTAATAAATGTAGTGAGTTATGATTGTATGAGAATATATATATCTGTAAATTATTTATTAAAATTTAAAAAGAAAAACATGTTCTGAGGATAATTAGCATCTAAGCTGATTTCTAATAGACCCTCCAGCCAAAAGAAAAAGAGACAAAGTAACACCAAGAGACCTTTATAGGGTCGAAAAGAAGTTGAAGAACCAAATCAAGTTTTTTGTTCACTACAAATCCCGCCAACTCTGATAATCTGGTACTCCACTAAATCTCACATGACATAGACTCTAAAACTAATAAGTCTAGCAAGTTTTTGGACAAGTTATCTATTGACAAACTTGTATGCATGATTTCTTGCATTGCCCGGTTGGCTGAAACATAGTTTTTCATGTATTAAGCATTATTACAACTTCCATAGACCCCACCAACCCTAACAATATGGGACTCAAAAATACCACCTAGACATGACCAAGATTCAACAGAGCTTAAGCTTGGAAAGTCTCAAAAACTACGCTGACAGAGTGTATAGCATCTAAAATCACATTAGATAACTATCAGCAGATAACTTATTACCCATGAACTTCAGCCGGATTAGGTGCAGCAGACCAATCTAGAAGGCCTTCAGCCACCTACTATACTATATATATATATATATATATATATATATATATATATATATATTATTATT